CCATTCTCTCAGCTACCTCTTCAAACTATCAAAGTTTGCCCTTCTGAAATCTGGGACTTTAGTGAAATTTTCCTTGCGCCTGCCCTGAAATTCTAATTAGAATCTTATTTCTTTGTGATCGCTGTTAGCAAGTTCGTTCCCTACCTCGCCATTAATAATGGGGTTTTCTCTGTTTGACAGAACTAATTCGGGTATATTATTACCCCGGGTGGGTTCAGTTATATGTTGGCTTAGGAAACAGTCCTGAACTGTTTCAAGAAAATTCTCTGATTCTGAGTTACCTGTAAGGTCAATCCAATCTATTTGACTAAAGTTAAAGTCGCCTACTATACAGAATTTGCCATGTATGGAAGACCTGCGCATTTCATCCCAAATAAGTCGCTCATTAACTCTATCAAGATTAGGAGGTCTATATATTACTCCTGTGATTAATTTTTCCCTACCATCGATTAATTCTATCCAGATTGTTTCTGCTCAGTTTTTATTTCCTTATTTATTTCACACTTCAGATTATCCCTGACATAGATTGCTACTCCTCCTCCTTTCCTAATCTGACTAACGGTAAGGAATAATTTGTAACCTGCAATTTGGTATTCAACAGGTAACTCATGTGAGTCTAGGTTTATCCATGTTTCGGTGAATGCTATTATATCGATTTTTTCGGTATATACCAACGCCCTGATTTCATCCATATTGTTTCTCATACTTCTACTGTTTGCGTAGTAGACATTTAAGTTAGTCGTGTTCCGAGTCCTCTCCTTGTCGCGTTTAGGTTTCAACTCCCTGCCTAATTTAGTTTTGTCATAATTCCTAGCACTATTTTCCTGTAATCTTTTACTTTGTGTACCCGCTCCCACTGCAGTCTCCTCCACCCCCGTGCTCATATGTTATCCTAGCAGTTTAAAGACTTCGACATCTTTTGAACTGCCCTCTCGAGGGAACCAGCCAGGGTTGCCACCCCATCCCTAGACAGATATACCCCATCCCAATCATAAAGGTCCCTTCTGCCGTAAAAGTTGTCCCAGTTGTCAATGGATGGGACTGATATTGACATGCAATATCCGTCAAGACGGCCGTTGACACCAACTGCCTTTGACAACCATTCACTGCCAACTCTCCTTCTAGGCAGGACACCACATATGATAGGGATCCCTCCCTTCAACCTTATACGTTCTATAGCTGTCTTGAACTTCTCAAGAAACGCCTCACTCCAACACCGGCTAATATCATTGCCTCCTGCACTCAGGCAGATAATGGGTTTGTTCCCATTACCAGACAAGATATCATCCATCCTGTCAACTATATCCCCCCCCCCTAGCTCCTGGCCAGACGATTTTATCCAGCTTAGAGGGGAAGCCGTAAACAAGGAGTTAAAATTCCGTATGACTGACATAAATATGTATTTTATACGTATAAATAACATTTCCAATGAAAGACAGTCTTACATAAATGGCAGATGGATAATTACATAAAATATTGTAAGAAACTTATACGCAAGAATTCTTTTATTTATTTATTGTTCGAGTAGACTCTAAAGATGTACTGATTACATTTTCTTGCAATAAAACAGCATGAGAGATACGTTAAATGGCCGAGAGTCTTTAAGATTTTAGATTTTTTTTATTAGATTGCTCCGGAGGGGGGCTAGTTTATTGGGCACCCCCTTACATCCTGTGCAAGGTGAAGCGCAGAAGCGTTTACAGTGCCCATCTGGGAAGCATGCTAGGTTCATGCTTGCCTTTATGACTCGTGCATTAAGGGCGTAAAAGCCTGAAGGGTCATGGGTTTTGTCAGCAAGTTACATAAAGTGATAGACTGATGAGTGTGTGGGGGGAAAGTTCCGGTACATTTCATCTCTTTATGGCAAAGCGTGGGTGGTGGCGGTCGGTGTTGGAGGTCACTGGATTCTACCAGTATTGGCCGTAGCGGTAGCGAGGCCTGTAGTAGCGACGGCGATGATGCTTTGGTTTCCAGAAGAAGAATGGGTCAGGATCAGCCAAGGGGCCGGGGTCTGCAGATGGGTCAGCAAGTGGTCCCGGCATGGCTGTAGCAAGTCCCATTACGGCACTGAAGGCCACAGCCAGGGAGAGAACTAAGGAAACCTATTACGAAGGCATCGAATCAGATACTGACTGACAAACATGGAAGGCTAATTTCCTGCCATTAGAAAATACCCAAAATCAACAATATGAGGTTGTGATAAACAACCTCGCCTGCATCAGCAAGGTAACTGTTTCCAGATCCATTATTATATATTTGTTATGCAAAGACTAACTCCGTACATTTAACCGAGTGTATATATATATATATATATATATATATATATTTTAGTAACAAAAAGTAAATGACATAGTAATGTACCTCACTCAGTGTACTGTACAGTGGCTGTCGAACAATTGGTACGGGGTGTATAGAGACGATACAATGAACCTATCAATGTAAACACGGATCTGTACATCACATTGCCTTACTAATATTAGTGGATATCCAGCTATGTATAAGATATTTGACGCATATTGCCTACTGTTGTATGTTTAAAAATTTTCCATGAAGTTAAATGATGTACAGTATATTCAGATATTTATAAAGAAACCACAAAGTGCCACGTTTTAGTAAAGATTCACGTCAAAGTAACCGAAGAGAGCTACTGAACCACAGATTAACAATAAAGTATAGTTTACAATGAATTTGTGTTATTAGTTATGGAAATTCAATAAACTATAGCACTAGACATAAATTGATGAAAATTTTGTACATATAATCTGTATTTTTTGTTTTAGTTACTGTTAATACTATATAAATTAAAAACATAACTGAAACTTAGAAGTAGCATCACGGTAACTTACTTTAGGAGATGAACAAAGCCAGAGAAATATAATAGAGAATCAAGGCACTACTCTCCTGGTCCTGTGTCAACTCGCCAAATTCATGACGTCTGAGAGGGAGATCTATTGGGCTCAACACTGTGTGCCGGTCTGCTGCCCGACCAGACTCATATACCCACGACCAGCATGCCCGGAAACTAAGTACTATGAATAAGAAGAATAAGCACCAACCCTCAGGGGACGTAACATTACACCAATCTGAAAACATTATTGTAAGGATGACTAGTCCAGAATTTGTTAACACTCACTCTTAAGGAGGCCCGTCAAACCAGTCTGATACATCATAATATATCATAATTAACCCTTTAAATAAAGATTAGTCCCTCATTTAGGTATTTTAATCTGTTAAATAATAACCCGAAGCATGGGGAGAGGGGGAGCGAAGAGGGGTGAGGCATGCATACAGAAGTTGTCTAATATAAAATGAAAACATAAATTAATGAATGAATCAGAAAACATTTACTTTATATATTTCAGAATAATGATAATCCGTGAACCTCTGTATGGACGATGAATTAACATGAAAGGCTGAAGCAAATGTAAGATAATAATAATAATAATTAACGGTTTATTGAAAAAAGTTCTGCAGCCCGTAGGCTGAAAATATACATTAGACAAAAATTACTTATTACATACAAAGACATGGGGTGGGTGGGTCGTTTAACAAAAGCTTTCATTACTGAAAGGAGAAGGAACAATGAATTGAACATACCAATTATTATAGTTTACAGTTGATGGCCTGGGCTGGTCCGCTGTTTAAATGGCCTTTTATTTGGGAAAATATTACATGTAAATTTATGGATCCTCACCAGAGAGACTTCATATATAGGTATATTCATGAACTCTACCAACAAATCAGAGACTAAAAATGTTCAACATAAAACGCTTGCAGGAAGTCCTTCATCTGGTCTCCAGAGAATGTGATTCACTTGGTTTCCTTCTTTCAATTGCTAAAACAAAAGCCATGTGGCACGGTCGTGTTGTACCTCCACCCCTTCTCTTATCAGGAACGCCCTTGGGCTGGATTAATGAGACAAAATACCTGGGTGTGTATGTAACTCGCACACGTTGTCAGATCCCTGAAGTCCGCTATCTTCGAGACATATGCTTTCGGCGTCTCGCTCCCCTCTCTACCATGTGCAGGGGTTCCCTTGGTGCCACCATCCCTGTACTTCTCACCATGTACAAGTCCTTTGTCCGTTCCTGTGTCGACTACGCCGTCATTCAGTACGTGTAAATTCTCATTTATGTTTGCAAGGAATAGCATACATTCTTTTAAGGAGTAATGGCCACTGATACCTGCCAACTTTTCTCCAACTGGATTGTACATAACTTTATAACTATCAATGTCTACTGTCTAGTTATCCTTCATCAGACAACCTCACTTCATGAGGATGCAAAATGCAAATTATGCACTTCTAGTTTTTTATGGTAACTTGTTCTGCGTTCCCTAACATTATTAAGCTTCTTTTTTTGTCAATCTTATACTACTGTAGTTGCTCATTTGTAGTTTTCAACATGGAAGACATTATTAAAGTTTCTGTCATCTGTTGAATTCAGGTGAAAAGTGATTGGCTTCACGCTCCCAAGGCTGTGCCATCAGGTAGATTCCTTACTCAGGGTTACTCACGAGGAAGTTTACAACTGACTCAGCAATATCGGTTTAGATAACAGGTGGGCACTCCCACAAAGACAAGGTGAAGGCATCCTCAGTGTGCTGCACATTAACTTACGATAATGACAGTCTTTACGAGAATAATTTGTAAGACATTATTCCACTGATAAATAAACCCTATAGTCTTTTGACCTTTACTTCCTCAATTGCAAAATCAGGTACCCATTAACAACTGGGTCGTTGGGGGTGGTCCAAGTATTGTTTAGTGTCTAAAACAAAATGATCGTCTTAGTTAACTCTCTGTAATGTGATTAAGTGTGTGCATGTAACTAATCTATTATCTTTGTTCCCACTTGGTGCGGTGAGTCATGGGATAAAAAAGTTCACATTTTATTTCCACATAATGTCAGTCTCTTGACAAGCTTATTTTCAGAACTTACAGAAAATACTGTTTCTAAACTGAAGGTTGAAATAAAATACATTCGACTAAACAAATGTCATGAAATGAAAACAACTTTATTGTAAGCTTTCTTGTCCTGCCAAACTTGGAGAGGAGTTAGACTAAACTAGTAATGTTAAAGGGTGCGGTTGTGCTTTAAGGATTAAGCTCACAATATTTATTACATGTCAATCTACACAAAAAAAATAAGATTTTTTCAATATTGAAACACTAAATAAACTTGTAAAAGATGCAGTTCAACTGTAACAGATCCTTCAAAAAACATAACCTTTTTTCCATCAACATATGGCACTTTGATTGTTTAACTCGGGATACAGGAAAATTATTTGAAAATCATCGTAAGCAATTAAGCCTTGACACTATATATCAATATTACTAAGATTTCCTATTACTTATATATTACGGGCGGCTCAACTGTACTGTTCATCTAAGAGAGAGTATCACTATACATTATGAAGGCGATGGTTCTAACGCCCGAAGCAGCAGCGGCGGCGGCCCCAACCATACCTGCGGCGACGCCACCAAGGCCGGTACCGGCCAAAGAAGGGGTCGGGGTCAGCTACAGGGCCAGGTATAGGGCCAGCCACGGGGTCAGCTACAGGACCAGGTACAGGACCAGCCACGGGGTCAGCTACAGGGCCAGGTATAGGGCCAGCCACGGGGTCAGCTACAGGGCCAGGTATAGGGCCAGCCACGGGGTCAGCCTCAGGGACAGCCGAGGGTGAGGGCAGGGCTCTGGCTGGGCCTAGCAAAACAACCAAGGCCACCAACAAAACTAGAACTATTGCATACTGTAAGGGGGGAAAATATGACCATTAATAAAAGCTGAACATGCATTAAAAAATATTTCTTTTCATCATAAATCAAAGGGTTTTACGGATAACTTAATTTAGGATTATTAACTGGAAGGAATGAGCTTTAGACTCCTTAGGATTCAAGAACATATTGTATATACGAAACAAAAGAGATATATTTTAATTCAATACGAGAATAGAATTATTCGAAGAGGAAGGCTGACTATATACAAGCGCTAAAAGTCAAGTACCAAGAAAATTTAAAAGAGGACAAATATTTAATGATGCAAAATAGAGAAAAAGTTGGTAGCGAAGTTTCCCTTTAAATAGTTAAAGTGAAACGAAACCATAACTTCACCTATAGTTTCTAGAAACCCATACTAGCAGATTTTCAAGAGAACAAGGACAAAATTAAGGTTAACTTCTTTAAATTTAAATTGTACACTTTGTAGAATAAATGAGTTGAGCATGACTAACTTATTGGAGGCGTCATATGGGGAAAGTTAATAGAACGATAGAAATTAGAAAATCTGCTGAGGAACAGATGATAAACTGCACTAGATTGCGTTCTCTGAGGGACACGATTTAATAACATTAGTTCAAACGTAACCTATTTTTTTCTGGCACAAAGCGTCGTAATATCGCTTTCAGTACATTTATTATCATCCCGATTACTAATGTACAGTAAAAAATGCAGCTACCGGTTTGTTCAGAAAAAATAATTAAAATACGCAAAACACACATCCACCCGACCCAAGCCAGTTTGGGAGAGCCAGTTGACAGTGGTGTCAGGACAAAAGCCCTTTAGGACAAAAGACCCCTAGGATAAAAGCCTCCCGGTAAAAGCTCCCCCCGGACAAAAGACCCCTAGGATAAAAGCCTCCCGGTAAAAGCTCCCCCCGGACAAAAGACCCCTAGGATAAAAGCCTCCCGGTAAAAGCTCCCCCCGGACAAAAGTCCCTCGGTTACGCACAAAGTAGAACAAAATCGGGAAATATATCCACTGGAGAAATACCTTCTTGATGGCGTTTATCTGTGAACACGTTGAATGACGTCTTCACATTTTGCACCAGAACCTATTCTAAATGTTTGTTAGGTTATGTTACGTAAGATTTAGAATAACGAAAACAATGAGATCGACCACGAGGAAGTGTTTCCTCAGACACTCGTATAACTGTTGACCTTTACTCCACCACACTGATCAAATTCTTGTTATAATGCTCCTACTACGCTTCAACAACTGCGGACTCCCACTTATTTTATACTCATCCTGGAGTGATTAGAAAGTAAATAAATAAATGAACCTATTATCCTCATAACCCTGTAAATTATCTCTTTTTTTCGTGTTTTTATCTTGATCCGTGGTTCTTCCAAATCCTTGAGGCAGTTAAGTGAACAAATTTATTTTCCTTTTCTTTCTTCATGTAATTAGGACGATGCAAAGTCTTAAAAATACTGATGGTGTTAATACTTATTTAACAATAACGGCTTCATATAAGGCTAACCTAGTTTAGGTATAATTTGACTGTCATATGATGGTAAACTACGTCTTAAGTGAAACAGTAAATTGTACCATAAAATATTAAATTGCTTTAAACTGTAAAAATAAAACAAAAGGAAGTCCCTTTTTAGCAAAAAACTTCTGCTTATTTCTAAAGCAGAGATGTTTTAACGTTATCATCGCTACTCACCAGCCCCATCGTAAGTCTGACCTCGGTCGTCTGACCCAGGTACTAAATCGTGACGTCCTTCTGGTGTGTCCGAGGACATGTGCAAGGTTTTATAGTCGGTCAAGCTCCCCTGGTGGCCAATTTGGTAGGTAACCACTGACGCGATTAATACCAAAGTTACCGTTTCCTATTCTAAGTTGGTAACATTTACAACTTCATTATTCTTTCACAGATTTTTGTCAGAAATAATATTCCTTTGGTTAGATAATCAGCATATACACTGGCATTTATTGGGACTGTTATATCCTGTGAGCGAGGACTGAATCCTTCTGGAACAACATTAAGACAATGAAACCAACGACTGCGCATCATGAGTTGCACTTCCTAAGTAAATATTACGTCAGTGTGTGTGTGTGTTTAATGACTGTTATCCCCAGCATACTGATTAGAGAAATAATTTGGCTCAATCAGACTAACAACAGTTTCTTTTAAGTTCAAAGATGATCTTGCTAAGGACTTACAAGCATCTCTACTGTAATCTGTAATACCAGTGCTGCCGCTGCGACAGTGTACATTGGTTAATCGAAACGCCAAGTAAAAGTACGTATCTTTGAACATAAAGGCGTCATTTAGAACAAACCGGCACTTAGTAATATATCTCATAGCGACATCCGTGCGCGTGGTCATAACGCCAATCTCTACTTACAGCTCGACTAAACTACAGTTGTCACCACCCACTCTAACTCTACTGTAGAGGACTCCTGACAATGGAGACTCTATTGCCTATTAAGGAGAGACCCTGCTTAGAGAGGAACGAGACTTCCTTATACCTTGTGTTTCTACTTTCCTTCGGTCTCGAGAGTTCATTTTCGTTAAGTTCTTGTCATGTATAGATTTCCTGTTTTATCATGTCTGACACTGACTTCATATATACTGTACTACACAACTGAGTTCTAACGCCATTTAAGGTTTTGTTTTGGAGTTTGTCTGATGACGGAGATAGACTGCTCTGAAACTTGTGCGATGAAAATAACCAAGATGTTTTGTAAAGTGATGGTTTCATTGTTCATCATAAAACTCTGCTTCCCGATGGACAAGTCTAGTCTAAGTCAGAAAACTATGATTTTTTTGACGTTTAATATCACAAAGAAGTGATTTGGTTTTACGTTCTCCAATATCTTCAGTAAGGCAGACTACACAAAGCCCCAGAGCTTGCATCAGGGTACAGTACACATTTCATACTGTACGTGTGGTTGTAAGATGGTGAATGTGTGGTTTGTGACACTGCGTATTTAGAAGCAGAGAAGTAGTTTGTCATCAACGCTAAATATAGGTTGAGTCAGGGTTTTGTGGCAGTAAACGCTGATTAGAGTTACAAACATTCCTATTGAGACAAGATTCGGTGTAAATATCTTCGAATTTTAAAATTTTCAATACAGCAAATTTTTCGTTTGTGTGATCTGTTTTTTCAAGTAGGTCATTGTCCGTACAATTCTCTTTTGTGCAGTAACCAGAGATTGTGTTATTGAAGAGCCAGAGGCCCCCCATACTATGGGGGGCCTCTGACACACACTATGGGGGCCCCATAGTGTGTATCAGGTGTCGAGTGTGATACATGAATCCACACTGTTTATTGATTTTACTGTGAATGGCTTGTATGTGGTTTCTCCAGTTAAGTTTCTCATCAACAACAACTCCGAGGAATTTAGTATTTTGTTCGCGTTTAAGGACTGTATTACCAAGGTACAGAGGGTCCAAGTCTGGGGGAAAGTTTTCCTTCTGTGAAAGATCATGTAGTGGGTTTTCTCATGGTTTAAGGTCAGTTTATTACCTATTACCCAGGTCCTGACTTTAGTTAATTCAGTGTTCATAGTTCTCATCAAGGAATAGAGGTCTGAGTTTCTGGCATAGAGATTACTATCGTCTGCAAATAAGTTGTATTTTATGAGTGAGGTGGTGTGGACTATATCGTTTATGTACAACAAAAACAGTACTGGACCGAGAATGGAACTGTGGGGGGACTCCATAAAAGATTGGTGAGGAGTCAGATTGGTGATTATTATAGCAGACATACTGCATCCTGTTGGACAGATATGAGGTAAACCAATTGTGGGACAGGCCCCTAACGCCGTAATGTTCAAGCTTTGAAAGGAGGATGGTATGGTCGACAGTTTCGAAAGCTTTAGAGAGGTCCAAGAATATATCGACTGTGAACTGACTGTCATCAAGGGAATTTAAGATGTCATTAGTAAAGGATAGCAGAGCACTCTTTGTCGACCCTGCTAGCTCTAAATCCAAACTGGGAGTCTGTAAAGATGTTATTGGCATTTCAGAAGGAATTTAGTCTATGACATGTTAGCTTTTCCAGTATCTTACCCAAGGCTGGGAGGACTGATATGGGGCGGTAATTCTTGAAGAGATCTTTGTCCCCAGATTTTTTATATGCTGGGTGAACTTTAGCAATTTTCAGTTTATCAGGAAAGACACCACTAGCGAAGGAGAAGTTACAAATGTGTAGGAGAACAAGTAGTAATAAGTGGGCTACTTTCTTAATGGTGCTCATTGTCTTCGCCTGCTGCTGCATCTTTGGACATTTTTATGATGACCAGTAATTCATCTGCTGTGACAGGGGATAAGAAAAGCTCATTTTGCTGTCTGTTTTGCAGGTAGGCTCTAAATTCCTCATGGTGATCAGGGATGCTCTCTGCAAGATTTTTGCCAACATTAACAAAGTATTCATTGAAGTGGTTGACAATGGGGGAGGGTTCCGTTACAACTGAATCATTTATCATAAAAGCTGAGTGGGGGGCCAAAGGCTGAGTGTTCCTGTTCTGAATATAATTTATGACATTCCAGGTTTTCTTACCGTCGCCTGATGCTGACTGGAGCTTGTTTTGAGGAACTTTTCAAGAGGTATAAGGAGGCCCTGGGGAAGGTTAGAGATAGGGGAGGGATCCCGATAGTATGTGGTGTCTTGCCTAGAAGAGGAGTTGGTCGTGAATGGCTATCCAGGGCAATTACTATAAATTGCCGACTGGAAAAACATTGTGCAAGCAATGGTTGGGCGTTCATTGATAACTGGCAACCATTCTATGGCAACGACTACCTGTACAGTTGTGACGGAGTACACTTGTCTCGCGCGAGGGGTAAAGACGTTGTCTGCATCCCTGGAGTGTGAAATTGTCACTCCAAAGGGGGGGTTTCTCCAGTAGAGAGAGGTCAGGGTAAGAGGAAGTCAAAAAACAAGCAGGTCCTGGGGAGTAAAATTGGTTACTTGGGACAAGGAGTAAAACAGGACCAGGGAAGGGTAAGTTTAAATCAGTGGTGGGCACAGCTAAATGAAAAGTTAGCTTCGCTAACCGCTAATCAGCTAACTAAAAAGTTAATTTTGCTAACGCTAAACCGCTAAACAGCTAAAATAATTAGCGGAAGCTAACGCTAACCGCTAACTTTTATTATATGAATTTAGCTTCGGTTTGTTTGTTTTTTGGCTCTAAAACCCTTAAAAACAGAGCGCCTGAACTTGCCTCGCTTATACTACAGACGGGCAAGGGTGACCTAATTGAGGTGTATAAGCATCTCAAGGGGCACTACTCAGTCGAGTGTCCTTACTTGGAGCTGGCGGACGCTCGCCCCACCAGGGGTCACAGCTCAAGATTGAAGAAGCCGCAAGTCCAGAAAACTGTGAGGGCAAACTTTTTCGGAGTGAGAGTTGTGAACTCTTGGAACAATCTACCAGAGAGTGTTGTGACGGCACCGAGTGTGAGCTCTTTCAAGACAAGACTTGACCAACACTGGAGCGGGTTCAGGTACATTCAGGAGCCTTTTACTTTTTACTTTTATCCTCTTCGCCACTGATCGGCTTGTTAGCCGCTTGGGCGATCGGTCACGACTCTTTTCCTTTATATTCTTCACCAAAAGGTCGGCTCGCTAGCCGCCCGGGCGATCGGTCACGTCTCTGTCACGCACTGTTGGCAAATACTGGGCATGCACCGGCTCCTGAATGTACCTGAACCCGCTCCAGTGTTGGTCAAGTCTTCTCTTGAAAGAGCTCACACTCGGTGCCGTCACAACACTTTCTGGTAGATTGTTCCAAGAGTTTACAACCCTCACTCCGAAAAAGTTTGCCCTCACGGTTTTCCGGACTTGCGGCTTCTTCAATCTTGAGCTGTGACCCCTTGTGGGGCGAGCGTCCGCCAGCTCCAAGTAAGGACACTCAACTGAGTAGTGCCCCCTGAGATGCTTATAAACCTCAACTAGGTCCCCCCTTGCCCGTCTGTAGTATAAGCTAGGCAAGTTCAGGCGCTCCAATCTCGCAGGGTAGCTGAGATGCCGAAGTGCAGGCACCAGCTTGGTGGCCCTCCTTTGAACATGCCCAGTACTGGCCAACAGTGCGTGACAGAGACGTGACCGATCGCCGAAGCGGCTAACGAGCCGATCAGTGGTGAAGAGGATAAAAGGAAAGGAAAAGTAATCAGAGACGTAGGTAGGTAGTAGGCAGCTACCAAACAGGGAGGTACTACCGCCTGGGAAGATATTGGAAGCATAATGTGTTGTCTAATGGTAGACCCTGCTGCTGTATGGCATCACGAAAATTGTGACCAACTCCCAGGTTGCTGATCTCACTTTCTGCTCATTTACACACAATTGCAGGGTCTCAATTGTTTCTCTTACTATTGACAACACAACATATATACTGTATATTGTTTCTCAATAAATTTTTTTTCAATTTGTATTTCTTTATGGTTCTTTATTATTATTATTATTGTTATTATTAATTACATTTTCACCCCCTAGGCCCCAATGTGGGTCAGTGACCTGGCCTGGGTGGGCTAATCCCCGCAAAAAAAAAAAAAAAAAACCCGATCGCCCAAGCGGCTAACGAGCCGATCAGTGGTGAAGAGGTTACAAGTGACCAAGGATTCTTAAATGTCAAAACAAATTTAAAAATATATATACTTTTTTAATAATTATGAGGCTTTTAAAAATTTGTCTCAAGTTTTGAAGCTTGTGGTCAAATTATCAAGATGTTGACAAAAGTTCCACTAGTGTCCCTGGTCCTGAGTCAGAGAGTAAGCGACGCCTACTGTACCAAACCATGGCATCTGCTCTGGAACACTTTGTTAATAATGTTACGTCTCTGTCCTCACAAGGTCAGTAACGGTGGCTCAAGTAACAACTCGATGCATTAATATGTGCTGGTCAGGGAGCTGCAGGGAGGTACAGACAGCTATGACCACAAAAACCTGACGAGCCAAAGAGGATTTGACTCGATTTATTTTCCTTCATCTAGATAAATATTAATATTTAGTATGTTTTATTTTAGCAGTTATATTTTAATGAGAGCCGTGAAGCAAAAAATGAGACATAACCACAATTATTTCTGTCCGTTTTAGTGAATGTGTGGCCATAATTGTGTGGTGACCTGGTCCATAGGCCACCAGGTAAGCTTAAGCTTGGTTAGAAAAAGTTTCACCCATCCAAAACTCGCCTTTGTAATGTTAAACCCTGCATGTAATGGATTCTATTATCTAAGAATGTCATTATGGCCATGCAGCTATAGTGGGTCAGGTGGCCCTAATATTATGGCCATGCAGCTAGTGGGTCAGGTGGCCCTAATATTATGGCCATGGGTCTATTGACTTGTCTTATTGATTATTTGGTATTTTTGTGTTTAAACATTCCACATTCCTACAACTAATCTATTATCATATTCTAATAAGACGTCTAATTATAAGATCATTTTCATCTACAGTATTACATTACCGTCGCCTCTGTATAATAACGGAGATAACATATCCAAGATTTTCTCTCTTTTATTCCATTAATCTTCTGCCATTATCACCTACCTTACCTCTCACACTGAGCGTCTCCTTCATTAATCATCACACGCATGCATTCCCGTACGCGTTACGCTACCGATCAAAAGCATTTTTTTTTTGCGACCAATTAAAATGATTTGTGGTTTAATTTGCGGTATTTTTGGCCCATTCAATATCGATATTTATTTTGGGTCTCATATTTCGAAATTCAACGTCATTTCCCACCATGGAAGTCTGCGATGGGTGTCACTTCAATTATATGGAGCTGATTGCGAGTTTTGGGGGAAAAACGAAGAAACTATAGCATTTTTTTGATCTCATGGTGTTCTTCCAACCTCAGTGAAGTGTTTTAAGTGCAAGACTGAATGTTAATATCTCAAAGAACATCATATGTGGCGTTGTGTAAGAATCTCAGAATCCAACGAAGAACAAGAACCAGCCCAATAAGGTAAGAAATAGGTGATTCCATTATATGGTGAGAGTCAGTTAGGTTAGGTTAGGTTTTTGTTTTTCTAGTGTGTTTTGGTTTATTTTTTATTAGCTTAGCCATTAATTTTTTTCGAAAAAGTCCCACGAAAAAAAAATGATAAAATAAAAAACGGTCAATTTCCGATGGAAATGAAGGTCATATTCGGTCTAAACACACACAAATACACTAGAAAATATATTTTTGACTTTTAACACAGTGGGAGGTGGAAGTGCAAATTTACCGATTATTTTGGTTATTCTTCGGTTAATATATAGGACTAACCCACCGGGGCTGCAGCACCGATTCGGCCATATCATATCACGTCCAGAAATGCCTCAAATTTCACCATATCATAGTAAGTTCTTTCTGTTTAATATACCGGGGAAGTTAGGTAAGGTTAGGTAGGTTTGATTGGTAAGGTCTGTTCTTCATACCAACAAATGTTAAGTAGCGTTTATTTTAAAAATAGCCATTTTTTTAACATATTTCCACAAATTACAACAGTGTCCACTTTAATATAGCAATGGAAATCCTGCATTTTTATAATTGTTTTCAATCAATTTCGCTCGTGGGTTAGTCCTATATAATTACCTATTATTCTTGTAGAAGTCTCCATCATATTGTTGTTATTAACATATGTAGACAATAATAATGTTTACTTATGAGGTATTGAACATAATTGAAGGTAAAGAAACTAGTTTCTGGCGTGCCATCCAGCCTGTTAACACACCAAACAGGCGTTAGTCTCTCTGTTTTCACTGGAGGTAACATCTTGCTTGAGACTCTCTTCAACTAAATGCTTTTTTTCTGTGTTTCCAAGCAAATTATTGGTCATTTTGAAATATATTTTACATATTAACAATATATAATGCAGTGCAGTGTTGTTTTAAAGAAAATAATCTTGAAATACACCAAGAGAACTAAAATTTTATGGGTGAAATGGCACCATGGGGTGACTTCTCTTCCACCCCAATGCCTTCTCTTCTTCCTTATCCTCCACCCCCTTTCTAATGCCCATCATCATCATCATCCAGGAGCCTTCTACATACACACCTCAAAGTAAGTGTACTTTTCTACCTTTTTTGTTGAATTTAGGCAATTTTCGGTGAGCTGGAACCAATTACCCAAAAACCCATTGAAACAATGGTTTCGGTTAACGAGCAACCTGCTGGAACGGATTGTGCTCGTTAACTGAGAGACCACTGTAAACTACATGAAAACAAAAGACTTTACCTCACCTTCCGATGTTCAAGATATGTTACTCGTTTTTTTAATAGTTTTTTGTTAAAATACTGTTATATTAGTGATATTCTATTCATACTGTGCTTGATATAATACATTCACGGAAATGTAATATTTTTGCTGAAATGACATGATCGTATTACAGTGGAAAGTGGGATAAAATGGTGATGAAAGCAATGACTTTCGCTTTCTTTCGTTCTAAAGATGTTACCGTAATCGCTTTTCGAATGGTTTTCAGTTAAAAACTGTTGTATTACAGTAATATTCCCTTCTAATTGACTTGAATATATACTTGAATGGAAATATACAATATTTTTGTTGAAACTACCCGCTTTTCAGTGTACAGTGTCGTAATAATAAATGGTAAACAATTTGCCTTCGGCACTTGGTGTTTTAGGCACAGCGAGCCTGAAGGTTTTGTTGTTCCATTGCCCCCAAAAACTTGGGTCGACCTATAAACAAGGAATATCATAAATTAACGATTTTTTGGTAAAAAAAATCAGGGTCGACTTATAAACGAGGGAAGGTTATAGATGAGTATATACGGTAATATTAAAATGCAAAAAGAGCTATAAAAACAATTAATAATGTACTGGCTGGCATCTCCACTTGTCCCTGCTCCCGGTTCCAGAGCGTCACTACTCGTCCCCGCTCTATCCTTCTGCCTCCACATCGTCACTACGTCACTACTGCCGGGAACGCAGGGTGGCGTGGCTGGCGATGTGTGTGTGTGTGTGGTGTGGCGGGCAGTGTGTGGTGTCGCGCGCGATTTGAATGTATATTCCTCTGGTGGCAATCTGCGTATTTGCAAATCCGTGTACAGTCAGTTCTGCTATAACGCGATAGTTGTGTTCTTGTAAAACATCGTGTTATAGAAATTCGCGTAATAGAAATAACAGGGCTTATGGAGAAAATAGGGTTAGGTGCAGATTACTATTCGAAATCGAAAAAAAAATTAGTAGTTAGCCTAACACAAAGGTTAGCACAGTCTAAATAAATGTTACATTCATATCTAATAATGAAATCATACAGTAAATGTAGCACTTTACCTTGAAAAAATATGAACATAACTTGATGGGGGAGAAGGGTGATTTTGAGGTTGATAACATCGAGCTTCTCTTCAAGGGTTATAGCCTTTCTTTTACGATCACCACCGGGAATGCGATCACCAGAACGCTTCTTGGAGATATTCTTCTTCACCAGATTCACAGTTAATACCACAAAATTGGAGAAATAGTAAGCAAAAATCGTGTTACAGCAAACAAGCGTTCGCGTTATACAAATATCGTTCCTCTATTCATAAATCGCATTAGAGCCAATTCGCATTGTCAAAACAAGTGTTATAGCAGAACTCACTGTATGTTAAACCCGTGTATGTTAAGGGCCGACTGTATTTACGAATTACACTTTCCAAATTAGATGATCTCCCACCAATCACATTTCAGGACACTATCATTCTGCCAAATTCTAAAATAGATATGTTAGACCTCACCATTTCCTCTAATATGTCATGGAAGCCACACATCCTCAGCATTTCTAAAGCTGCATCCTGAAAGTTGGGAATGCTGTACAGATGCCGTAGCTACTTAATTCCTGAGCAATTACTTCAAGTATATAAGAGATTCATCTGTCCTAACTCGGAGTACTGCTCTCATATCTGGGGTGGCTCTTCTTCTGTCCAACTGTTAGATAGGGTGAAATCAAAGGCATTCTGTTTTATTAACTCTCCTCCTTTATTTGATAATCTTTCTTCCCGTTCTTCTCGCCTCAAGTTGCTTCGCTCTCTCTTTTACAGATCTTAAACGGGCAATGTTCGGTGGATTTGGCATCCTGTGTACCGCCGGCAAGGCCGTGGGCTAATATCACTCATGTTGCCTGCGGTGACCTCCGTTTCTGTGTGGATGTCGGTCACACTAGAATAACCCATTATAGTACATCCTTCTTTCCTCACACAGCCAAACTGTGGAATGCTCTGCCCTTTTCTGTGTTTCCATACTCGTACAATCTGTCTCACTTCAGAAAGCTGGTTTTCTGGCATCTTCGTGGTGTAGATTAATATAATCTTTTTCTTTTATATTTTTTATTTCTTTTTACTCGTATTTTTTTTTGCCCCCCCACGCCCTGTTGTGGGTCGATGACCTGTGCCCGGGTGGGCTCTTCCCTGTAAAAAAAGGCCAACGTAAGTGCAAACATGTGAAAACATCATCATTTCTCTACATAAGAATATGAAAGCAATACTTATTACTGTTCATATATGTTTTAATTAATACTTATGGATGTAGAGTAGGCTCTCGCCAATAACCCCTTCCACAATAACGTTTTTGACAATAACGGTAAGTTACAATAGATACCCATTTTCGATAATAACGTCTGGATTCTCTTGAGTAACGGAGATTTTGCGGGAAGCGTCCGAGCGCATCTATGAAAGCGTTTGTTTGCCGCCATGTTGATGACGTAGTTGTCCGCTCTGCCTCACTCTCACTCACGCTCCGTCGAACACAGCGCTGCGCCCACGTGTAAGATTTTCGCCTCTATAATCAGTGGTTGCTAAGGTCGGTGATCAATAATGGCTTCCGCATTTTTGCCTGTGGGGCTAAGGGAGGTGGTGAAGGGAGTGATTTGCCGCCTGAACTCTCGGGAACTTTTCAAGTGATTGAGAAAAAAGACCCCAAAGCTAAGAGACAAAGCCATAATAAGCGTGCCTACTCGGTCAAGGATAAAGAACAGATTGTTGAGTTCATTGAAAGTGGTGCAAGGAACATTGATATTGTGAGGAAATTGAACTGTCCTGAGTCTACAGTGCGAAACATTAAGAGGAACTTAAAGGAGACCAAGAAGAGTATTGCGCTGGTTAAAAATATTTCGGTAGTGATGGAAATGCGAGGCGAGCTATGAATGATAAAGGTGATAGAAACAGGTTGTTAGTGATAACAGAGCATTTTCTTCTGAAATGGTTAGCTTGTAGAATGAAAGACAGTGCAAGTGTTAGCGGCCCTCAGATACGGAACAATCATCACACCAAGCACCTCAAAAACTCCACCAAACTAAGTGTTATATTACTCAAACTCTTTATTTTGATGATTGAATAACAATTCTTTTTATTTCAGCTAACAAAAAGTGTTAGGAGGGCTTCAAAGGGGAAAAAATGGGTGAAATTCTTGGGGCGGCTGCACCAATAAACCCTTTTTACATGAATTTTAATGTCACACAAATAACGTTTTTGCTAATAACGGCGTTTTTCAGGCACCTATTAGACGTTATTGGAGAGAGCCTACTAAGGTAAAACAAAAATACTACTCACCAATGGTGGTAAAGTCTAAAACATAAGGACAGTCAATGTTGTTGTGTGAGTTTTTACTCAGATGACGAAGTCATCAGGTTCAACTCTGGTTGAAGCTGTAGCTTTCCATAAAGATGTCATAGCTGTTGCTGAAACTGTTACTGAACCTGAAGTTCTTGCTGAATTTGATGGTGTAGCTGAAGTTGATGGTTTAGGCATTCAAATAATAAAGCTACATCTTTATGTAGAGGCCATTTGTGTTTTTCAGGTCTCTGTTAATTTTAATGCTTCGTTCTGTTAATGGATCCACTTCAGAAAATATGTTCATTGCTTGCTCCATATAATATCCACAGACCTCTCGCCTTTTTCACATCGTCTTAACACATCTAGTTTCTCGGCTAAGCTTATACACTTTATTTTAGCTTTTGAACCAACACTACCATCACTTCTTTTCTTGCTCATGTTGAATAGGGACGCAAAAATGCCATAAGAAACCTGAGAAAACTTTTCTCCTTTTCCTGTTCAGATGCGTGAAAACAAAGGCCCGCCAAGCTACAACTGTTTATACTGGTGATGCTGGCGTCACCACTCACAAGCCCGGCAGCCTCCATGCACAAGGCATGTTTTTATTTATTTGTATATTACATATTAGGATTTAGTTATTATTTATATGAAAAAGTAGACCCTTGCCATTCGCGAGAGATAGGTTCCAAGTAATGGCGCGAATTGGCAAAACCGAAAATAGCCACTTATATAATACCTTAGTGCACTAATATACAGGTATACCGGTACTTATACTGTGTATGAAAAACTTAACTCACAATACTGTACTACTTAGATTCGTATGTGGAAGTCTGGAGCTTTCTCAGTTTTCACTACGTTCTTGTCACGAACAATTTGCGCCACTTCAGCACTTGCAGGATCACTTGCTTGAACAGAAACACGAATTGTCTGTTCATTCTTTCTTATGTACCGCACTGTGGATTCGTTCACACCAAACAACCGACCAACCGCGGTAGCACTCATCCCCTCCTTTAACTTGTCTAATAATTCAACTTTCTTTGCCAGAGTCATCACTGACCCTTTGCCTTTTATGTTTCACACCACTAGCATCACAAGCACTGACACTAGGCAGTCCTTTCTGGGCCATTTTCACAAAGAAACACGAAGGTTTTGAGAGTATGACACGAGATGCTTGGTCATGGGTACTGGGTGAGGGCAAACAGAGTGAGATGAGATGCTGCGGACGTGTGGGGTGACTCGTTGCGCTGAGCCACCCGAGCCACAAGGCCGCTTACTGTGAATCATTGAAGTCGCGAATCGTAAACCCGCGAATGGGTTTACGATCACTAGTCGGGAATTGAACTGTGGACCTCTGTGTGTGACCAAGGATAGGTGCCACAGCACCACAAGGACAAGAAAAGCAATCGTAGGCTTAGTTTTATTTTACACAAAGTCTGTTGATTCGTCTCTCGTAAGCAACGTGAACCTCCATCGGGGATTGCCCGACTAGTGAGGTATTGTTTCTACGTATATGGAAGTATACATATATACATATATATATACATATATACAGCTCCTCCTCGACTTACGACCTACTCGACCTATGACCACTCGGACATACGAACGCCCCAGTCGTACCAAAATAATTTTCAAATTACGTATTTTCGAGTCCCGACGTTAGTGATTGCACTGTGTACTGACAAAATTTTCGTTTGTAATTCCCTTTAAAATGGCTGACAAGCTTAAAAGTGAGAGTCTTGTGGTGCTGAGAAGAAAAAGAGACACCCATTTTAGATTTTATATGCATTATCTTCGCATTTTTGACTTACGACCAATTCGACTTACGACCTGGATTTGGGTCCCAAACCATTCTGTCAACTTTGGCAAAACGCTCAACATTTTGATCTATTTTGTGAAACATTTGCATCCCCTTATTAATTGTAACAAATGCCTCTGCTATTTGCTTCACTGAAAATTTTTGGGGGGTTGCAGGTTCTTCTTCTACATTTTGTCTCTCTTCTTCCTCTGCATTTTTCTGTGCATCCAGTTCAATAAGATCCTCATTACTTAGCTCTTCTGCTACACTTTCAACTAACTGCTCAACATCTTCATTATCAATTTCTAACTCCAACTGTTGACCCAACTCCACTATCTTGTTACTCATCTCAGAAATTACTTCATCTTCATTAAATCCTCTGAAACTGTTCACATATCTTTTCAGGACTTTCTTCCATGTTCCATTCATGCACTGTCCTGTAACCTCATCCTTATGCTGAGCGAAGGTCGTACATAAATAATTAGTTTTAAAAGCTGCAATAGCACCTTGATCCATGGGTTGGATGATTGAGGTAGTGTTAGGTGGAATGTACACTACCTTAACAGCAGGGTACATGTCGTCCAGGTTTGGTGGGTGTCCCGGAGCATTATCCAAAATTAACAAAATCTTGAATGCAACCCCTTGTTGCAGACAATACTCCTTGGCTCGTGGAATGAAACAAGACAGGAACCAAACCTCAAACAGTACTAGGGTTATCCAGGCTTTCTTGTTACTTCGATAAAACACTGGCAGTGTGTGCTTGCTGACATGTTTAAAAGCCCTTGGGTTCTCTGAATGATAGATCATGAAGGGCTTTATCTTGAAACCAGCTACATTCCCCCGTAACAGAAGTGTAATTCGGTCCTTGAATGCCTTTAATCCTGGCATTGTTTTCGCCTCTTTGTGGATGTATGTCCGTTTAGGCAAAAATTCGGTTAACGAATTTCTTACGAACCGACCTCAACATGTTTTTGCTTGCACTGACCGGGCAACCAGCTTTAGGATCAGTCCACCAATACATTAATCGGTTCTAGGGCTTAAATTCCTTACTATTTTAGTAAATATCAAGAAGTTTATACTAGTCAATAATTTTAAAAGTTTAATATTCAATTTTTTAGTCATTTTAACAATTATTGAACATAATTGAAGGTAAAGTGACTAGTTTAATGCGCGGCATCCAGCCTCTTAACACAGCAAACAGGCGTTAGTCTCTCTGTTTTCACTGGAGGTAACATCTTGCTTGAGACTCTCTTCAACTAAACGCTTTTTTTCTGTGTTTCCAAGCAAATTATTGGTCATTTTGAAATATATTTTACATGTTGACAATATATAATGCAGTGCAGTGTTGATTTAAAGAAAATAATCTTGAATTACACCAAGAAAACTAAAATTTTATGGGTGAAATGGTGCCATGGGGTGACTTCTCTTCCACCCCAATGCCTTCTCTTCTTCCTTCTCCTCCACCCACATTCAAATTCCCATCATCATCATCCAGGAGCCTTCTACATACACACCTCAAAGTAAGTGAACTTTTCTACCATTTTTGTTGAATTTAGGAAATTTTCGGTGAGCTGGAACCAATTACCCAAAAACCCATTAATGGTTTCGGGGTTAATCTATCCTTTCGGGTTAAATCTAAATTAACTTTCTGGGAACGGATTAAGTTCAAGCAATCATATATATATATATATATATATATATATATATATATATATATATATATATATATATATATATATATATATATATATATATATATATATATATATACATACATACACACACACACACACACACATATATAGGTCTAATTCTAATTCTACTTAGCGGGGGTGGGGTTAGGGACCCAAATCCAGGTCGTAAGTCGAAAATGAGAAGATAATGCATATAAAATCTAAAATGGGTGTCTCTTTTTCTTCTCAGCACCACAAGACTCTCACTTTTAAGCTTGCCAGCCATTTTAAAAGGAATTACAAACGAAAATTTTGTCAGTACACAGCGCAATCACTAACGTCAGGACTCGAAAATACGTAATTTGAAAAATATTTTATACGACTGCGGCGGTCGTATGTCAGAGTGGTCATTAGTCAAGTAGGTCGTAAGTCGAGAAGTACCTGTACAGTACTAGATGTTTACAGGAGGAAGCTGCTACAGTAGGTTGTGAATATTGGGATATGAAATCATTAATATTTAAGTTTATTTTCAAATTTCATTTGAGTTAAATAATTTTAGGATAAATTTATAAGTTAAATAAATGTTAAACAGTTGGTAAGTATTTGGTTTAGAAGGAAAGAAGTGAGAGTTTGGTGTGCAAGACAAATACTGTACTATAATGTAGACATTTACCTTACAGGCAACTATGGAGAGGTAGTGAAGTATGTGAGCAAGAGTACCGAAGTGCTGGCCAAAAATGTTGCTCATCTGGACACAGTTCTTGCAACGCTGCAGCCACAGAGCCACTCCCTCGGGGTAATGGCAGTGCTTTGTGTTAGGTTGCAGAATACAACTCATAATGATGCAAATATTGACACCCTCCATGCTACTGTTGCAGAATTTATCAATGTGTGTGCTGAAGAACAGATCAAGTATGCACCAGATATGAGTGAGTACTATACTGTACACTATATAACTATCCTTTTATACAGTCCTTATTGATGTCCCAATAATTTGTCAGTCTTTTTATACATGCAAATTATTCTTAAACCTTTGGAAATCTTTATTATAAAATTAATTCCTTTTCATTAAAAACAATGTGTGAAGTGTCTTATAACAAGGAATGACTCATGTACGCTCCCCCCCCCAAGATATCGGTCCCTTTCCTCATAGATACCATGTGTCACAATGGACCAATATTTCTGATCATAGTAATTGTGATTCGTGCATTATGTTGGTAGACCCGCCATCCTAGTGCCTGTGAGGTTGCCTTTTATTATATCTGGCATTTGTTGTAATCACCGTGCTCCATCTTTAGTAGAATAATATAATATTAATGTACAGGTATTGAAAAAATATCAACAGCAGTCAAATAGTGGGTGTTTTTTTGCTGGAAATCCATGACCAAACTAGTAACTGTGACTCATTGGAAAACACAGCTTGCACTGACAGACATGGAGAAATGTCACTTTCCTAATAACAGTACAGTGGGGTATGCTATAACGAATCTAATTGGTTCTAGAACCTTGTTCGTTATAGCATTCGTTCGTTATAGGATTAATCCGTTCCAGGCCCCCAAATACAACCACTTAACACTGAAAACTATAATATAAAATTGTAAAAATTGTAAAAAAGTGCATAAATATGCATCTAAACCCCTGAAATAAAGAATATTATTAATACTTGTAATAAAAAACAATAAATTAGTAAAAAAATAAATAAATAAAATAAATAAATAAATAAATAATGTTCGTTGTAGGAGTTTCGTTCGTTATAGCATTCTCAATTTTATAGGTAAAACTGTTCGTTATAGGAATATTCGTAGTAGGATCCGTTCGTTATAGCATACCCCACTGTATGTCTAAATCAAATATAAGTCTGTATATTTTCAGCCACCCCTGCAACTCTATTAATAAACCGTTTATTATTATTATTGTTACACACACACATATATGTTAGTCTCTAAATGTCACCTGTTGCTCTTGCCAACTTTCATTGCATTACTATTTTCTCGCCTTACTCACTTGATATTTAATTTTCAGTATTAAAACTCCTTTGTATCCAGCATTAGAAACTGTGGTACATTGTGCAGCTTTACTTGGTTGATATTTAGAGTATGTACTAGAATCTTTGTGAACATTGAGTAATACTTTATTGTATTTTGATGCAGTGGCTGATCTGTGTGGGAGTTATGCAGATCTCTTAGTTGCCGGGAGCTGTGCGATGCGAGGAATAGAAGTTGTTAGCAGTGCCATCAGGAAGACCCAGGAATCTCCCCTTCACCTCACCTCAATCCATGCCCACTTGGTACACCTGTGCCTTGTGTCTAAGTGCTTTAAGCCAGCCCTCAAGTTTATGGATGTAGATATTATGGATATTAGTAAGGAGGTTGGTAATTATCATGATTTTGGAGTAAAATTATTTAAGGTGAAAAAAATAAATGGTTGAGTCATTTGTGTACCTGTCCCAGTACAGTACAGTAAGGTACAGTACAGTACAGTGAGGTACAGTACAGTACAGTAAGGTACAGTACAGTAAGGTACAGCACAGTGAGGTACAGTACAGTAAGGTACAGTACAGTACAGTGAGGTACACAGCACAGTGAGGCACAGTACAGTGAGGTACAGCAGTGAGGTACACAGTAAGGCACAGCACAGTAGGGGCACACAGTACAGTAAGTACAGTACAGTACAGTAAGTACAGTACAGTACAGTAAGTACAGTACAGTAAGGTACAGTACAGTAAGGTACAGTACAGTAAGGTACAGTACAGTACAGTACAGTGAGGTACAGCACAGTACAGTGAGGTACAGTACAGTAAGTACAGTAAGGTACAGTACAGTACAGTAAGGTACAGTACAGTACAGTACAGTACAGTACAGTAAGTACAGTACAGTAAGGTACAGTACAATACAGTAAGGTACAGTACAGTAAGGTACAGTACAGGAAGGTACAGTACTGTAAAATACAGTTCAGGAAGGTACAGTACAGTAAGGTACAGTACAGGAAGGTACAGTACAGTACAGGGGCCGGATACTCAAAACACCTCATAAGTTACGTATATTAGCGAGATACAGTACCATATATTGCAGACTCCTCACAGTCCCGTAAATTTAGCATGCTCAAAATTTAATTACAGTTCCTTAAGCAGTCCGTAAGTTATCATAACTCTTGTGTTTACCCTGTAAATTCAGTTCTCTTGTCGGAAGGTAGATGACAGTGCAGGAGCTAGTTGGCCAATCAGCGCTCAGTTAACAAAATCATCAACCAATCACAAGAGAAGGAGAAATCAGCTGAGAGCGATGCATGTGATATTAGTTTGTAAACAAAAGATGGAAGGACAACCACCTGAAGAAACGACCAAATTTCAGTGAGACTGAAGTATGCGCCATGGTGTGTGAAGTCGCCAAAAGAAGGAAAATAATTTTAGGGAAATTTAGCCTAGAACATGGTGTTTTCCTTTCAATGTTTGGGTCATTTGGTCTGAATTGTCTTCAAGTTCATACAAAAAACAATAATTTAAAACCTGAAAATATATCTGATTATCCGTAAATTTTCTTAAATTAACACTCTACCCTATGATACTGTTCATGGAAAGTCTGGAACTAGACCCAAGGTAGCTGCTAGACAAAATGTCTTACTGACAGCCTGACACTCACCAAAAAACCATGTACACATTCTCTAACCTAACATAACATACCATAACATAACCAAACCAAACCAAACTTATAACCTATTGGTATAATTTCTTATTTAAATATTCCTCATGTTATAACTAAATTGAGTAGGCCCCACGTTTAAACATTTATTGGCCTAAGAATGAAAAAGGAGTTTTATAGGCCCCTATTAATCAAGTTAATTGCAATCCATATTTTACGCATAGCATTTAATTTTGGCTCACCTTAGAGCCTTTCATGTTATCATAAGCCATATACATAAGAAAATAGGGCTAGGCTATTGGTTGCATATTAGAAAAACAAGGCGAAGTCTTGGCAGGAATGTTCACTTGACCTCATATTTGGCTTTCATTACTGAGGGATATTTATGGCTATACAACATTAATAAGGTCTGTCTACTGTATAAGTTTACTCAGTCATAAAACATATTTTTACCCTAAGTGTGAGCAATACTGCTCCCTTCGATTTGCTGCCATCAATTTGCCTCACTGCCTCCAATTTCTCGGCGTACGTCAGCGTCTTCCTCTTCTTTATTTGCCTCTGAGCGGCAGGTCCGGGTACGAGGGCTGGTGGTGGGGCCATGTTGGGAGGGGCCTCAGCCATCATGGACAACAATAGGGTACACACAAAAAAGACTAATCCTTGTTTCCCACGACTGCGGGGAGCCGGGGTAGAGGGACGCTTTCTGAAACTTCCCCTTCTACCCCAGCTGTGGTGATGCGGGCCAATAAAAAACGAGCTTTGATGACTGAAAAATCCCGGCCAATGAAAACGGCTCATTCGTGTGATGACGTCGAGGGCTGATGCGCAGTTCGATGCGTGAGCGAGGCATGTGTGAGTGCTTGTGTTTGTACAACCGCTTTCAAGTTTTGTTACCTCCATTCATTTTCATCTAGCAAATGTGTTATTGTCAATTTGTAGGTGAAAGATTTTATCCTCAATAGATGTAGGTGAAGCAAGGGGGTAACAATACATCTGGAGGCAAATGCGTGATAACTAAATTCTCGGCCCGAAAAATGCGCTGTAACGGCAGGTGTGCAGATTTTGATGGAGGAGTGATAACAAAAATTGCGATAATCAAGTGCGCTAAAATTTTTTTTTTTTTTTTTAGGGGTCCGGGATTGACGGTTAATCCGAAAGTCGGTTAATCGAGGGTTGGTTAATCTAGGTTTTACTGTACTACTCATTATAGGTGAAACTTTGGCATACCTGATATATGCTTACTAATTTAACTACAGTATAGTCTGGATTTACGAGGATTTTGTTTACGCGTTTGGTCATTTACGCGGGAAGCAGCGCTGGCGGGGTACGCACAAGGTCGCCCAGTCATCAAAACATTACCGAGTTCTTCACCCACCACCCAACACAGTTGGCCCAAGTCAGTGATAGTGAGGATATGGACTTTGAAGGGTTTGACAAAGAGGCCGTGCAAGCCTCTGTGGTGGAAAGTGATACAATTGATACAAGTGATACAGGTGAGGGCCAATAATCTGCCCTCTGCCTCGGAACCAACCCCCCATCCCCGTGTGTCCAGCCATCTTTTCTACGAACGTAAGTGTTAAAAAACCTAATATTGATATTTCTCTTAAATATTAATTGTGTGCATACCATCTTAAAATTAAGATGTTATTTTTACTACAACGTACGTATTGTGTCGGAAAAAGTGTAGTTTGGGGGTCGGCCAAGTCTCTATTTTAATTAATCCCATATGTTCTGTTATTTCGTTTACGCGTTTCTCGTTTTACGTGGACCTCCACGGGTTCAATTGACCGCGTAAATGCAGACTATACTGTACTACTCATTATAGTCAGTCTTTGGCATACCTGATATATGCTTACTTATTTAAATACTACTCATTATAGTTAGTCTTTGGCATACAGTACCTGATATATGCTTACTTATTTAATTACTACTCATTATAGTCAGTCTTTGCTTGACCACCCTTTGTTTAACAGGAAGTTAATGAACAAGTTTGATAAATGTTTTATTATTAGGTTCACAGTTAAGTGATGTTTTTTCTCTTACAGCGTGGCAGCTATGACGTCAAGCATTTCCTTCTTTATTACTACTATGGAGGAATGATCTACACTGCAATAAAGAATTACGACAGAGCGCAGTATTTCTTTCGCGTGTGCATCAGCACTCCAGCTCTAGCTGTGTCTCATATTATGCTTGAAGCTTTCAAGAAATATATCCTTGTTTCTCTTATACTTGAGGGGAAGGTAAGTCCAAGCCTGGTGTTTTGTGTACAATAGTAACAAGTGTTTTCCTTTCTTGACTGATCATTGTCAACAGCCCAGGTCAGATGTGGGAAGGTCACATCCAGTGTGACTCTTGCAAACAAAGCAGGTTTTGTCTGGCTTCTTCCTGTACCAACACTGGACAATAAGGTTAACAAAGAACAGAACCACCACCTACATAGCTTGTAAGCTGACAAATGGTAAAATGAGAAATGGATAAATCGAAAGCATTTTAATTGTGAAAAGTAGCATGAGAAGGCTGAGGTGACAAGTACAGTACAGTGACCCCTGTTGTAAGCTTATTTGCTGAAAGCTCTCACACGAACGCATCTGAGTAAATAACCTTCTGATTTTTTTTTTTTTTACAGGGATAATCCCACCCGGGCATAGGTCACTGACCCACATTGGGGGCTGGGGGGCGAAAATGTAATAATAATAATAATAATAATAAAGAAAAAAAAAGTTCAAGAGTGAGAAACCATATACAGGTACTCCCCAACTTACGATGGGGTTAGGGACCGACATCCAGGTCGTAAGTCGGAAATGCTTAAATAACACATAGAAAATCTAAAATTTGGGTCACTTTTTCTTCTCAGCACCACAAAACACTCACTTTTAAGCTTGCCAGCCATTTTAAAGTGAATTACAGATGAAAATTTTGTCTGTGTACTGACTTTGGGACTCAAAAATACATAATTTGACCACATTTTGGTACGACTGAGGCGGTCGTAAGTGCGGGTGGACGTAAGTCGAGTCGGTAGTAAGTCGGGGACTACCTGTATGAATGTTGTGTAGTCAATGGTAAGAGAAACAATTGAGACCCTGTGTGTAAATGAGGCAGTCAGAGCAACATATGGCAGCATGATCTACCATTACAAATTACATACAGTATTGTATTTTCTCTCTATTACTGAAGATGTTGTATTAATCATGATGAACCATAAACCATAAGAGGCCATTCATATGAGAATATAATACTGAATCAATAAATAAATAAACCTGATGAATGTGGTAGCACCTGATCAGCCCCAGTGTCTTTGTTCTCAGTTGGTGTATAGCAAATCTCATTAGACCACTGTACAGTATTCAGTAAGTGTGGTTCATTTCATCAGATTTTTTTTATTTAATCTTCCCCATTTCTTCACTTTTTTTTTTAAGTACACCTGCATTTCTGGTGACCAGAGCATCTCATAGTTCGAAAAAGAGAATTCCGATATGTTGAAGTCCGATTTATCGATGTTTCACTGCAAGTAAATTTACTGATGACACTATAATAGGGCGTGTAATTAAATCTGATGATGACTCGGCTAAACTTCAGGAAGATCTAAAAAAAAATTTTGAATGGTCTGAAAAATGGCAGATGAAATATAATGAAGACAAATTTAAAGTACTTAGTCTAGGAGATGTAAATAGAGTAACCAGTGGCGGAAAGGGGGGTTCGTGACAATATCTTGTGCTTGTGAGACCTCACTTGGATTATACAGTTCAGATTTGATCACTGTACTACAGAATGGATATAGAATCCCTAGAAAGCATTCAGAGGAGGATGACAAGACTAATCCTGGGCATTAGGGACCTTGAGTACAGAGACAGAATAAATCATCTTAATTTGCACTGTAGTTTCCTCTATTCTTATGTTCCTACAGTATATAATGTGTTTTCAGATTGGAAGGATCCCAAAGTATGCTTCCCTGGTGGTGACCCGCTTCATCAAGCCTCTAAGTCAGGTATACTGGGACTTGGGGACAGCATTTGGTACAAACTGTCCAGACAAAGTTTGTTCTGTTATAAACAAAAACCAAGAGACGTTTGGAAGGTATGTATAATATCTTAATTTGAATGTTTATTGAAACGTTCTCATGTATTTTATGGCCTGCAGATTTTTGCTGAAGGTCCTGTCCACTAGAAGCCCTCTTCGTGCCCCTAATAGAGAACATTTACTCTCGGTTGTTAATTAGTGTTTTGCTGCATTTAGGTTGAGGGTGGATAACATTAGGGTTACTTGGGATGCTGTAAAAAATCAGGTTCACTGAGTTAGTGAGGCTGACTTGGTCTTGGAACTCTACTTTGGTTATGGGGTTGAGGTCATATTTCTGCTGCAGTATTTAGCTGTCAGCCACTGCACCTTCACCATTTTTTACTCTCTCAAACTCCTTTGCTTAAAGTTCACAATGTATTCTGTTGGTGTTATTTAATGGAGTAGAATCATTGGCTGGATTTAGTCTGATTAATAGTTTATGGTACACAGTATTAATTAAATTACATAACGTTTATTTACAAACTATATTACCATATTTTATGAAAATATAGGCTAAGAAAAAAGTACCAAGAAGAGATGTTTGCAAACAGTGCTCACTCATTTTAGCAATACCCTAGTTATTGCAAAGGATGCGTTCCTAAGTGTCATTGCGAATACTGGGGCAATTTCCCCCTAAGAATGAAATGTAAATGGGGGGGGGGGGGTGGTGCATCCCCAGCTGGCAGCTTTCATCACATATTTTTTTTATATACAGGTTCACTCAATATAATGCAATAAAATAACTACAATACAGGTACACCACCAGTTGTCAATCACCGTTGGTTCCAAAGCCTTGCCGGATTATTTGTTTTACTGGACCAACCGAGGTCAGGTAATAATAATTCAACAGTACGCCTCTGACCCACTAATTATACACCTCCTGTGTCTCTAAAGCACCATGGACTGAGAGAAACTTAAATTAAGCAAATGTTAAATGTAAATTAAATGTGAAAAAGCCAGAATTTTGAGCAACATATTACTGTACACATGTTGTACAGTAAAGCCTTTGATAACAAAGGTTCATCCAACAACTTTTCATATTTAAAACCCTAGATAATTTCGGACCCAATTCAATTTACATCCTTATTTAATTCATATTTATGACCAAAATATAATAAAATTAAATTTTCATATAAATAATAATTAAATCCTGATGTGATATAAAAAAAAAATAAATAAATAAAATGCGCCTTGCTCAAAGAAGCTGCCTGGCTAATGAGTGGTAATGCGCATCACCAGTAAACAACACTCGGAGCTTGGCGGTCCCTTTGTTTTCACGCATCTGAATAGGAACAGGAGGAAAACTTTCTCACGCTTCTTACGGCATTTTTGCATCCCTATTCAACATGAGCAAGAGAGCAAGTGATTTTAGTGCTGGTTCAAAAGCTAATAGAAAGTGTCTAAGCTTAGCCGAGAAACTAGATGTGTTAAAACGATGTGAAAAAGGTGAGAGGTCTGTGGATATTATATGGAGCAAGCAATGAACATATTTTCTGAAGTGGATCCATTAACACAACAAAGCATTGAAATTTAAATATACGCAAATGACCTCTACATAAAGATGTATAATGAGAAAAGAAAGCATCTGTTTAAGGTTCTTTCGAGAGCTTTATTATTCAAAGGCCTAAACCATCAACTTCAGCTACACCATCAAATACAGCATCATAAGCAGCTTCAACATCAATTTCAGGTTCAGTAACAGTTTCAGCAACAGCTTTATAGAAAGCTACAGCTTCAGTCACAGTTGAACCTGATGACTTCGTCATCTGAGTAAAAACTCGCACATTATTCATTGGCTGTCGTTATGTTTTAGACTTTACCACCATTGGTGAGTAGAATTTTAGTTTTACATTCGTAAATATTATTTAAAACATATATGAACAGTAAATAAGTGTGGCTATCATATTCTTATGTAGAGAAATGATATGTTTCCACATGTACGCACTTACTGTTCATACGTTGGCGTTCCCAATCCTCTTGCTTTATTTCTTTACCATTAGTGGTTAACTACTTCTAGTGTTCCATTTATTAACATTACTTAAAACATACATACAGGTATTCACAGTGGAGGACTGGGTCAAAAATTTCTCCCGGGAAAACTTGTAAATGGGCCCACTCAAAAGGGTCCAAAAGGGCCCACTTAATCCCAAAACGTAGTCAAATGAATCAAATAAAAGTAAAGGTTTTAAGCAAATAAAATGTCACATCTATTCAATATTGTTGTACTTATTTATGTTAATGTGTGCATAATACAAATACTAGAAAATTTTAATAAACTTAAAATAAAAATCTCAATCATAGAACAACCAATCTGAGTAATTTACAAAGCATAATTTGAAATTGTTTTCAAAGTATAATTAAAATTGGAATGTGTGCACATATCACTAAAACAGTCAAAATTCAGTAATTTACAAAGCACCAATCACCTAGACAGCAAGCAATCTAGAAAACTGTGTCAATTTTTTCACAAGAAAAGGAATAATATCATCCACAGAAATTTCAGAAAGTAAATCTTTTTCGATGCTGCTGAGCATAAAAGTTTCAAGTAGCTCATATGATAGCGAAGAGAGTAATCGAGTTTTACAATTTTCAACTTAATGAATACGCGTTCGCAACTGACTTGTGTGAACGACAGGGTCAAAAGATATTTGTAAGCTAAGAACAAATTCGAGTATGCAGATGCATGCAAAGAATACTTAAATAGGATACGGAAACGCCACTCCCAGTCAGTCTTACTTTTTGCACTGTCACTATGTTGAAATTCCCTGTAGTATAACCTTCTCCTCACCTAGTTATTATATGACATATTTGTATCACTTATGTTACTTGTATTTTTTTGTGAATCAAGTGACCTATTCCTCAATTATGTAACTGTATATTTTCAGCCTTCTGGCTGCCATGCTCTTTCAATAAACCATTAATTATTATTATTTATTATTATTACACACACACACACACAGCCTCACATACACCCTCACACCCTCTCACACACACTCCATACACACACTTCACACACACACACACACACACACACACACACACACACACAGACACACATACACACACATGGGAATTAGCCATTTGGGGGAGGGGGGGGGGTGGGTGTTGCAGTCACTTTTACCCCCAACAGACCTTCTCCCTCTGGCTGGGGATGTGGGTTGTTGACAGTATATTCCAGGCAGAGGGCTTTTATTTTTTTTGCTTATAAAATGCCACTGACTTCACTTAGGAGAATATAACTTGCATTGCTGAAATTCTTGTAAGATAGCGATTAATTTGAGTATAAACATCCCATATTTTGCACCATACATAATAATTTTAGTAATTAACTTAGTACATTTGCCTACTTTTACCTACTTTTACTTTTATCTTCTTCACCACTGATCGGCTAGTTAGCCGCTTGGGCAATCAGTTACGTCTGTTACGCACTGTTGGCAAGTACAGGTTGTGGTAATTTATGTGGTTGCAGTTTCAAAGCTTTGTGATGTCACTAATGAGTCTCCATATGGTCCTGGTTTATTCATTGATCTAAGTACAAAGTAGTCCTGTCGAGCTCTCATGTATCAATTAATTTTAAAATATAAATTATAATATAAAATGTTATAAGACAATGGTTTAGTAGTGCTGTTAATGTGTGCTGTGTAAGTGTCTTGGCATGTCACCTCACGACCTGACTCCTGAACAAAATCTTCATCCCACAATGTGCTTGGCAAGCTGAAAAATAAACCCACACACACACACACGCGCGCACGCACACGAATTATGACAACAAGCATTCAGTGAGGGTCTTGTTGTGTGACTACATGGAGGTGAATTAAAAGATCAGCTGTTGAGGAGCTTATCGCTTGGCAACACTGGTGCATGTTACCGCTCCTTTCTACTCCATCTCTCTAATTACTCACACTTTCTGCTTTCTCACTCCTTATTTTAAAATGTTATGTAATGTAATGTTGAAGTGATACAACTTTGCGTATTTATACTTATATTTATCACAATCTCTAAAAATACTTCAGGTTTCGTGTTTATTCAAGACATCTTCAGGTCATGAGACCCACTAATCCCCCACCCAAGAAAGGGTGACCTGACATTCTATCGGAAGGTCAGTAACATGAGACCACTAATCGCTCACCCTACCTCAACCTGACATTGAGTCAGGTCAGGTTACCCCCCCCCCCTCAGAAAATAATTTAACTTCTATACTTATTCAAGACATTTTAAGAAAATGCTCTCGATTTTCAACCCCAGAAAATTTGTTTCTAAAGCCGGAAATTTTTGGAAAATTCCGACTTTGGGAATGATTTTCCAAGCAAATTTCAATTCCGGCTATCGGAGATTTCCGGGTTTAAGGGTGTCCGGCTAACGGAGATATTACTGTAGTAATTATACATGCTGAGTTTATAACTTCATTGTATTCCTTCCACATTATGTTACATAAATTTTAAATTATTTAATGAAAATAACAAATTGTACAATATTGTACAATCATGAATGACAGTCATAGTAGAATGAGTGAGAGAGGCAGAGTGTTGAGGTGAGATGTAGCGGTAGGTAGGAAGGTGAAATTATGTTTTAGGTGGTGGTGGGGGTGGTGGTGAGGGTGACTTACCTTTCATTATAGTAGAACATTCTTTCATTAATCGGAAAATGGGTAGTAAAAACTTGCCTTCATTATAGTGAGGTTTCGCTCAAGGGATAAACGTTCAGTGATGACTTACTGTTTACTTTCCACAAAATGTATGTAGGATGGTGTGTGCACGTAACTGAGTAAGATAATTGAAGAAAGTTACATATATCTACCCGAAAATATGATTTGAAAAACAACCGTAACACCTCACAGCTTGGCCCAGTAGCCTGGTGGTTACAGTGACGAGTCAACCTAGCTTCAATGCCATGATTTATCACTGTTAAGCACTATTCTGTCAGTAAACACTATTAATAACAGTAAATCCAGTGAAATACAGCTGGCGAAGGAGGAGAGTCAATAGTGGACGACACGCTAAATAACAAACTCAGTCACTTACTTCCTTTACTGCTCCCGTTGCCAGGCGTACGTATGGGAGAAAAACATATTTTGTAGTCTACTATGAAACTGGTGGCGGGCTCAGTGATAAACAAATTATATAAACCATTCATTTTCCTATGAGAACTTAACATTGTTTCATTACTGGAGTGAATGAATTAATATTTCCAAAAACAGAAATTGAGAACTGTTATAAAGAAATAGATTAACACTCACCATTCCTTGCTGGTTGTTCCTCTCCCCTGCCACTGATGATGATGAAGGCAGGGGAGTTACATGTTTTCCTCATCTGCTTAAGAAGAGGAGACAGAGGAGAGCCATGGAAGGTCAGAGCTGGGAGTGGCAGGAGGAGGGTCATCCATGTCGGAATCAGATTCAGAAGGAGGAGGTGTATGAACAGAAGGAACACAAACAGGAGGCTGAGGCTTTCTTGCAGGTGTAGAAGGTGTAGGGCTTGGAGTGGACTAAGGCAAGAAGAACATGGAGGTTGGAGGCTGGGCAACCTGGTGCTTGGAACTCAAGCACCAGGTTGCCCAGTATTTCCTTATAAGGAGCCAGGAGCTTCTCCATCCCTCTCTTGAAGTTGACTGATCTCTAGATAAAGGGATCGATGTCAAAAAAAATAGTCCACAGCTGCCCTACAAGACAGCAAGCCCCTATTGAGGTTCATGGTGGTTAAGGTGGACACCTCCACTTCACCTTCTTCCTCCTCATCTTCACGACACTGCTTCTTGACAAGCTCAGCCAGCTCTTCCCCAGCATGACCCAGGAGCTCCTTTTGCACCTCCTCCTTCTGAAGGCTGTCGAACCCCTCACCTCCCACTTGACAGGCAAGCTGGACAATATGCTGCACATCCTCGTCAACTGTGGGGAAGCCAGCAAAGTTGTTCACCACCTCTGGCCATAAGGCCCTCCAGCAGGAGTTAACACAGAGCTGTCAGGTCATCATGGCACTGCTGGGTGAAGGAGGTGCAGTCTGCAATGGAGAACTTCTTCCACATTTCCCTCACTGACGCAGCACCATCCCATGTGTCCTCGTCCAAAGCTTGCCGTATCCTGCTGAAGGTGTGGGTTATGTACTTGGCCTTGAAGAGAACAATGACTCCCTGGTCGAGTGGTTGGAGGAATGATGTTGAGTTTTGGGGCAGAAAGATCACCGCAACATTTTTGTTGGCAACCTTGAGGGCCTCAGGGTGGCCAGGGCAGTTGTTGATCACGAGAAGGACTTTAACGCCAGGCCTTTTTCCTGCAGGTAATCCTTGACCTTCCTCAGAAAACAATTGTGAAACCAGTCGGTGAACAACACTGCTATCTTCCAGTCTCTCTTGTTGTGGCGGTAGAAAACTGGGAGGAGGTGCATGTCTTTATTCATGAGTGCACCCGGATGCTTGGCATGGTACAGCAGCATGGGCTTGATCATGTGTCCTGCAGCATTGCCACATAGCAGGAGAGAAACACGATCTTTGGCCACCTTGAAGCTCTTTGCACTCCTTTCCTCCTTGGACATGAACGTCCTGGTTGACATCTTCCACCACAAGCCAGTTTCATCAGCAATGAAAACCTGCTCCGGCTTGCAGCCCTTTTCCTGGATAATCTCAGCAAAGATCACAGGATACTCCCTTGCTGCTGCATCACCCACCGAGGCTGACTCACCAGTGATCCACAAATTGTGCAGGTTGTAGTGCTTCTTGAAGTTCTCAAACCAGCCCTTACTGGCATTAAAACTTTTCTTTGTGGTATCACCAGAACCACCAGCACTAGCACCACCTTCACCACCTTCCTCAGCATGGAATCGGTCATACAGGACCTTCGCTTTCTCTCGGATAAACTTGTGGCTGAGTGGGATGTGGCGGTGGTTAAAGTCCTCAATCCAGATGTTCAGGGCTTTTTCCATCTTCACCATAGCTGTATTCCTCACACTAGCAGCTACCTTGGCAGAAGAGGGGCACTTAGGACAACAGCATTATGAATCTCCCTATCTTTCTTCTTGATGTAGCAGACAGTTGACTCGTTGATGCCACACGCAGCAAAGCTTTGGCCACTCCTAAGTTTGTCCAGTTGTATCTTCTCCACTAGGGTCATTTCTCTCTCTCTCTCTCTCTCTTATTTTTTTTTATTTTTTTTTTGAAGAAGAAGAGGCCTGGGAGGACCTATATCTCCAAGGAAGAGAAAAGAGCGCCAGGTTTTAAAGCGGCAAAAGACTGCTTGGCATGAACGCTGCCGGCGACTTCAAGCTGAAGCCTATATTGATTTATCGCGCTGCTAACCCACGGGCCCTGAAAGATTACTCTAAGGATCACCTTCCAGTGATCTACAAAGCAAACAAGAAGGCATGGATAACCGGCGCCATATTTAGCCAGTGGTTGAACGTGTATGCCGTCCCTGCACTGAAGGAATACTGGGCCAAGGAGAACATAGACTTCAAAACTCTTCTGATCCTTGACAATGCTCCAGCTCATCCTCCCAATCTCAACGACTTACATGACAGTGTAAAAGTTGTATTCCTGCCTCCCAACACGACAGCACTGATGCAGCCTATGGACCAAATCTTCATCGCCGCTTTCAAGGCGTATTATTTATTCCGTACTATGGCCCAGCTGCTCAAGGCTACAGACGGAGAAAATAAACCTACGACCCGAGAATATTGGTGTGGCTTCAACATTCTTCATGCAATTGACAACATTGGCAAGGCATGGGAAGAGGTTTCAGAAAGTTGCCTGAATGGTGTGTGGCGTAAACTGTGGCCCGAGTGCGTCAACAGTTTTACGGGATTCACGGACTTAGTCCCAGCAGTGAATAGGGATATCCTCAGCTTGGCTAGAGAGGCAGGCTTTGATGAGCTGGAATCAGAGGATATTGAGGACGTCCTGGCATCCCATACAGAAGAGCTCACCAATGAGGATTTGAACTAACTAACAGAACACAGTCCCGCCATCCTCCTCCTCCCCTTCACTACTTACCAGATGCTCGCTCTACCACCTCTGCCCATCGGTGTGTACCAATACAAACTTAGTAGTTGTATATGCATGCATTATTTTCTATAGAAATGGCAATGATTTTCTGTATATGTAATGTATTTCATGGGGCAAAATGGAGGTTCAGGAATGTAACTCCCATATTTTATCTATTTCTTAAGGGGAAAATTGATCCGCTTAACGTTGTTTCGTGTTACGTTGCGTTTTCAGGAACGTAACCCCGATTTTAACCGAGGACTTACTGTAGTCTTTTTCTCTTCTATTTTTAATTTCTTTATACTCTTACTTTTTTTGCCCCCCCTAGGCTCTATTTTGGGTTGATGAACTGTGCCCAGGTGGGTTGTTCACCCTAAAAGAAAAAGAAAAGTGATATTATGTTTGTTTTGATAAACTGAGTGTTTTGGTTTAAATTACTTGGCTTCTTGGGTGTTATCCTCTTGTTTGGTGAAGCCTCTCACAGAGAGCAATGGAGAACTGTACCACAACAGCTGTAAAACTACCAGTCATTGTCAACATTTGCTGATTGTTTTTAACACTTTGACAGAGACCAGAATATGGGACTGGTGAAGCAGTGCCTAAGTGCTCTGTATAAGAAGAACATCCAGCGCCTCACCCGGACCTTCCTCACCCTCTCTCTGGCGGACGTGGCCAACCGTGTCCAGCTGTCAACACCACAGGAAGCTCAGAAATACATATTGAATATGGTAATGTGTTTTGTTATTTGTGATGGTAATGAGTACAGTACAGTGCTGTGCAGAACAGTACAGTGCAGTACAATACAGTGCAGAACAGCACAGTACAGCACAGTACAGTGTTTACTGTACAGTACAGTGCAGTGTAGTACAGTGCAGTACAGCACAGTGCAGTACAGCACAGTACAGTGCTTTCTGTACAGTACAATACACTGCAGTACAGTTTATAGGACGTAGAGTGTTTTTAGTGAAGGTTTTGCTGTTCCATTACCCTCAAAAACTTGGGTCGACCTATAAATGAGGCATATCATCAATTAATTATTTCTTGGTCAAAAAATCAGGGTCAACCTATAAACGAGGTAGAATTATAGACGAGTATATGTGGTATTTCTTATGGGGAAAATTGATTCCGTTAACGTTGTGTTTTCAAGAACTTAACCATAAATGAGGACTTACTGTATAAGAGGATGCCCACACCCACATATCTCAGCCAGGAAGAAAAGACAGCCTTAGGTTTTAAAACAGCAAAAGATTGGGTTACACTCCTTATGTGTGGGAATGTGGCAGACTTTATGATAAAACCTGATGACTACTTAGAGCAGCTTACCAGGATCATAATGACTGGACTCTACATAAGATGGCAGATATATTCAAGTGTGCCAAAAATTTAACACGACTATGACCCATCAATGGAATTAAACATCAAAGTGAAGCAGAATATTGAGAATGTTTTACATTCTTGTCAAGAAATTTATGAAGAACTAAAAAAGAAAGCCAAACAATTGCCAATAACAATGTTTCAAAAGCCGAGATCCAACCCCTCCCTCCTCCTCCACTCCCGTCACTCTCCTCACCAACCAGCCTGGTGTCGTCTGCATCACCCCTGCCACACTCACGGCCTGCCTCTCCCCTTCACTCCACCGATACAGCTTCCTCACCTGCCGGCCCTTCATCTGACATTCTGGATGATCCCTGTCCACAGGTATTAAAGGAGGAGTAGTAATATCTTCAGCAGTTCATGATGAGGCAAGAAAAGTACACTTTATATACATAAGTAACACTGCTAATTATTTTGCTCCCATAATGTTGGTATTACACTTATGACTGGGATAAATTATATATTTTTCCCAGTCATAAGTATGTTACTGGAAAACCTAATATTCAGAATGTACGCATATTTCATTGACAGCGTTGTGTGTGAGGCGAGTAGTCATGTGTGTGCCGCTGGTGCAGACATGGTGGTATGGCACGGGCCGTGTGAGGCCGGGAGTAGATGATGCGTTACTGCTACTGTAATCCAGTTGACCTCCCTAACATCACACCACATATATTTGCTTCTTATTTAATAATTTTTTATTAAAACACAGTACAACTGTACATAAAGTAACTGTACATACCTATGTAGTATTTAGAGGGCTGAAATAAAAAATATATAAATATTTATATTTTTCCTAATTTATGGTACACTAGGGTATTAAAGACTGTTATTTGGTTAATTCTACATTTGTGAGTGTCCCAGTAACCTATCCCTCATGAATGTTGAGGTACAGTACTGTATATTGTTGAGTGTCACTCTAAAGCAGAGGAAGAATTTTTCTATCTTTGCTTTTGGTGAAGGTGTACTACCATCCACACTTGGGTTAAGTACCTAGTTCACAAAAATAATTTTGGAAAGTGGCAGATTTCATTACTGGTGATTTCTTTGGTTTTTATAATGTGTTCAAGAATAGTTGTACAGTATAATACAAAGTTTGAGTGATATATCACTAATTATTTTGATTCAACAGATTGATGATGGAGAGATCCATGCCAGCATTAATCAGCGGGATGGTATGGTGGTGTTCCTGGACAACCCAGAGAAGTACAACTCTCCCACCATGATGGCTCATCTTGATAAAGAGGTCAGTACAGCACTGTAAAGAAGTTCACTTGAAGGATACAAGACGTTTTGACCCGTTCTCGTGACACCCGACACCGAGTCAGTTCAGGTCCCCCCAATAATAGCTTTTGTCTTTATTCAAGACTTTTCAGAAAATTCTCTCGATTTTCAACTCCGGAAAATTTGTTCCCATATCCGGAAATTTTTGGATAATTCTGGCTTTGGGAATGATTTTTCAAACAAATTTAAATTCCGGCTATCGGAGGTTTCCAGGTTTAAGGGAGTCCGGCTAACGGAAACCACACACGCACACGCACACACACACACACACACACACACACACACACACACACACACACACACACACACACACACACACACACACACACATTGGTCCCTCGGTTAATGAAAAAAAAATTTGATTAACGAAATCCTTACGAAAATCACGTTTAGTTTTGAATATTAGCTGATAAGCTGTGGAGGTACTCAGCCAATTCAGTAATCTCTTCTATGTTTATATTCGTTTCCATTGGAGTAAATATCAAGAAAATTGTGCTCTTTAATATTTGTGCATTTTTTTATACAGTACTGTATTAAAATTATTGGTTATTCTAAAATTTAGCCATCCAAGCTCTGTTTACATAAAGTTTTTCAACTATTTTTGGCTTATATATGTAACTTTATTCATTTATTGAAACTCATTTACATGCACACACTGTCCTAAGGACAAAGCTGAACTGTACATGTATCAGAATAATGTACAAAATGATTACTAAAATTTTTGTCTAGTGCAAACTATGGCATGTTTACATTCAAATTAATCACTATCTTATAAGAATTCCAGCAATGCAAATTAAATTCACCCCGGTTACTTCTATTAAATTTAATAAGCATAGAATAAAAACTCAATCTAAAGGACATAAATTAACATCTAAATACTTCACACCACAGGTGCCAACTGTCAAACATGTCACTGTCACCCCTCCCTTCCTCCCTACCCCCCCCCCCCACCTTCCAAAGAAAGATTTGGGGGTTTTCAGAAGGCTTTAAGTTTTAGTCATATATAATAGCTCAGACTAAAGTTAGGAGAATATAAGTTACATTGCTGGCATCCTTGCAAAACAGCGAATAATTTGAATATAAACGTCATATATTTTGCACAAAAGATAAAATTTTTGCTCTCTCTAATAAAATTCCCTTTAAAATGGCTGGCAAGCGTAAAAGTGAGAGTTCTCGAAGGAGACGATTACTTCGCACCGTAACGCTTGGAGGAGCACCACACTAGGTGTCAATACTTTCGAGTTAGCCCGACTGCATAACAAGGCAGACAAGCGCCAAGGCCAGAAATACTCTGCCACCACCCCTCCCGTACTAATTGTAGCCCCTCCACATATGCAACTTCTGTGAACGACCCTACCGGTCCCATATCGGCCTCTTCAGTCACCTCAGAACTCACCAACTTAGGTGACAATAGTACAAGACACTGAGTGAGAGGCAGCTTATGATCATTAAACCAGACAGGTATTGGATGCATCATTTTGATGGCATTATATAAACAATAAATAACCTAAACCTTTATATTCATAGCTTTAGTTTCACACGTGACTTACAGTATAAACATTAACCAATAATATCATACAGTACAGTACTAGGAGTTCTGAATGTTATGTATACTTAAAACAACTTGAACATAATTTGAATAGCTATAACACTAAGTTAGTTCTGTTCCGGCGGGAACGTGATGCAGTACAGTATTATGGTTCCGGTGCATTCATAGCCACCCTGCTAGCTACTGTTTGGCAAACATTTCAAAGGGTTCATTTAGTTTGTAGTTGTTTTACTGTTACACTTGACATCATTCATGTTAGAAATATGCTTGATAACCTCTCTTAGGGTATTACATTATTACTGTACCACATTGTAAAGTGTTTATTTTTTGCACACAGATGCAGTTGTGTATGGAGGTTGAGCGCCGACTGCAAGCTATGGAAGAAGAAATTGTAGTTAATCCCCAGTATGTACAGAAGGTGTTGGGACCACAAGATGATGAAGGGCCCACGCCATCCTCTGCACAATCCACCTCATTCTCTATTGTTTCTTCCATGTGATCACCTCTTCCTTGCCTACTATATACTTGATCACTTCTGTGTGGATTAATTTGTAAGTGGCTTTCATATTTGAGGAAACCTAATCCTTTTATATCCTTATTTACTGCATCTAGCATCTTATTACTCCATAGATCTTTATAAATGTTTTAAGCTTCTATTTAAGATTGCTTTTGCTTAACTGTTTCTGGATAAATAAAAAAGAATTTATTACAATTACTTTTATTTCTTATCTTATGTCAAGGTGCAAACAATGGACACTGTGTATTATGTATGAAGAAATATTAAATTCTCTGGGGAGGAATGTTACAAGTGCTTGGATAAGAGCTAAGGTGAGAGGCTTTATGGGAACAAAAATGAATAACAAGAAAAATGTGGGACGGGGAGAGGTTAGGTTACTTATTAAATAGACAAGTCACAGGCATATAAATCCTAGTTTTAGTTACAAGTAAGGAGTACAGAAAGAAGGAAGACTAAAGGGGGATAAGAGTGGGGTTAAGGAAACTGTGATATTCAGCAAAAGAATGACTGATGAAAGATGGGAAGGAATGGTTGTTGAGAGATCCAAGAAGCTTTTGTGGAGGAAACTGAGTAAAGGAACAATTGGAATCAGAAGTTAAGAATAAAAAAAATAAATAAATAATCACGTGACTGAAAAATTTAATCAGTTTTACAGTGATTTTTAGTTATGTGAAGCACACAAACCCAACTCTGAAGTTAAAAGTGACAATAAAGATGGTTACCTCCCACGTGTGTGTCTTCCCAACAGCCACCACTGTATTGTTATTAATTCAAGCCATGTGTTAAGTATGAATTCTGACAGGTAACCTTCTGCCTGGAGATTGTCACTACAGATGGAGGTGGATCTAATCACTACAATATCCATGAGGACTAGCCGTATTCTTCACCTGAAAAGAAAGTCATAAATGAGGACTGCTGTACTGTGTGTATGCTATCACGTCACATTGGAGGGAGGTAGTACTTGACTGGGCTGGTGACAAATACCCAGTTGTCATAAGGGAAATTACCGTATTTTATGGCATATGCTGTACGATGCACTTTTCTACCTGGCCCAAATCCAGAATTAATAATATTTTACAGTTTACTTAAACACATTATCATTATTGTACTTTGAATTACAGTGGGGTATGCTATAACGAACGGATCCTACTACGAATATTCCTATAACGAACGGTTTTACCTATAAAATTGAGAATGCTATAACGAACGAAACTCCTACAACGAACATTATTTAATTTTTTTTTTTTTTCTAATTTATTGTTTTTTTATTACAAATATTAATGATATTCTTTATTTCAGGGATTTAGATGCATATTTATGCACTTTTTTACATTTTTTACAATTTTATATTATATTTTTCAGTGTTAAGTGGTTGTATTTGGGGGCCTGGAACGGATTAATCCTATAACGAACGAATGCTATAACGAACAAGGTTCTAGAACCAATTAGATTCGTTATAGCATACCCCACTGTACCATATATGAGGGGCCGAGTGCAACAAGGGGCCAAGTGCCAAAAATCACAATAGAGAAAAATGCTTTTATAGTTTGGAAAATTAAAGATGATGCAACTTTTGAACCAATGAAGATATTGAGTTCATGCAAGTGGCAGAGTATAGAGCTGTTAAAGCTGGTTATAAGATACTAAAGTCATATTAATTGAACAGATTGTTTATCGTAAAAATTGCATTGTTTTGACGGGTAGTGTTTGCAGTTTCATTAATATGCATTGTTGACGTATAATTTTCATTGCATGGAAGCAATAATGTATTAAGACCACACCAGAAAGTCGAAGGTCATTGTACTGTTTGCATAAAAGCAAACCATACCAGGTATTACCAATATTTTGACTGAGGCCAAGCACCAAAAAGTATAGTAAAAAAAACAAATGCAGGTACTGAAGTCTAGTTATTAATAGAAAAATACAGTAAACACCACCCACCCTCTCTCCCAGGAGCCTCCTCCTCCCTATGTTTCCCCCCTATTGGTGCGATAAGACTCGTCACTGGGACAGGCTGGAACATGCCACGTGCCACCAGCCCTCACTCCCACCCTCTTCACCCTCCCTCCTCTCTCTATTTTTTCTCTCTGATTGGCCCCCCACTCCCTCCTTTTGCCAGTTGGAAAATAAAAAAAATGGTTTAAGTGTTACAGTGATCCCTCGGTTAACGAGCGCCTCGGTTAACGAGCGCCTCGGTTAACGAGATTTCGGTTAACGAGTTACCTTCCATAAGATTCTTAACTTCAGTTAACGAGCAATCCCTCGATTAACGAGTTTTTTACAAGCCGACCCCAACATGTTTTCGCTTGCATTTGGCGGTCCACCAGCTGTAGTATTAGTCCGCCAATACAGTAATTGGTTTTAGGGCTTAAATTCCTTACTATTTTAGTAAATATCAATAAGTTTATACTATTCAATAATTTTAAAAGTTTAATATTAATATTTTTTAGTCATTTTAACAATTATTGAACATAATTGAAGGTAAAGAAACTAGCTTCTGGCACGCCATCCAGCCTGTTAACGCACAAACAGGCGTTAGTCTCTCTCTCTTTTCAGTGGAGGTAACATATTGCTTGAGACTCTCTTCAACTAAATGTTTTTTTTCTGTGTTTCCAAGCAAATTATTGGTCATTTTGAAATTTATTTTACATATTGACAATATATAATGCAGTGCAATGTTGATTTAAAGAAAATAATTTTGAATTACACCAAGAGAACTAAAATTTTATGGGTGAAATGGCACCATGGGGTGACTTCTCTTCCACCCCAATGCCTTTTCTTCTCCCTTCTCCTCCATCCCCATTCTAATTCCCATCATCATCATCATCATCATCATCCAGGAGCCTTCTACATACACACCTCAAAGTAAGTGTGCTTTTCTACATTTTTTGTTGAATTTTGGCAATTTTCTGTGAGCTGGAACCAATTACCCAAAAACCCATTGAAACAATGGTTTCGGTTAATGAGTTTTTCGGTTAACGAGCAACATGCTGGAACGGATTGTGCTTGTTAACCGAGGGACCACTGTATAACATTCCTATGACATTTTTGTAGAAATGTGGACTCCCATTAGCTAAGAAACCTTGCTATGAGCGAGAGAGGCTATGATTGGGGACCGCAGGCGCTTGTCCGCCTCTTTCCCTCAGTCCACCTCAAGGCGCAGATCTCACGCTGTAGAGACAATTTGACCTACCTGCACTAATATGGCTCTCAGCCTTACAAATATTGTGCTACCAGGACAGTTTGTTTTTCTGCAGACAGAGGAAAGGTTGGGAGTACAGATACTACTATAACTCAATTAAGGTTTGTTTACATCCGGCAGTTCTGCTCTCTCTCTCTGTTTGTCTATACAGAGTACAACATTTGACCCTTTAATATATATATGAGCAGTAAATAAGTGTTGCTTTCATATTCTTATGTAGAGTAATGACGATATGTTTTCACATGTGCTCACTTACATATGTGCAGTCTCACTTTTTTCCTTTACCATTAATGGTTAGCTACTTATATTGTTCCATTTATTAACATTACTTCAAACAACCATATTAATTTTTACATTAATTTTTCTACAGCTACAACCAGGGTCTTATTTTCTTGTTTTATATGTAGAACCAATCAGTCACTGGTTTTGTAAACATTAACGAAAACAATGCCGGCAGCCGTCTCGTCTCCTCGTGTGTTTTAATATTCCACGAATTATTAATGAATTGTATTGCTCATTTTGCACACATAAACATTAATTCAATAACAAAGACATTCAGTAATAAACAATAATGAATCTTTTGTACATAAGAGAAATGACGCTGTTTACACGATTGTATACGTCTGAACGTTGGTGGGCCGTTCAAACCCGTCGAAATTCGAGTTTCTGCAGTCAAAATTTTAAATTATGTAGTGTTTTTTTTGTATGTCCAAATAAAAAACATTGAATTAAAAACTCGCAAAATTTGAGAAGCTACTGTACGACTTTTAACCCTTCAATATGTCTTCAAAGAGACCACGAAGCAGTGAAAGTGGTGCTAACGTAAGCGTAAGTCACTATCTGTCCAGGAAAAGGGTGAATTTCCATGGTCAGGAACCGGTCGGGTCCCGAGGTTGCCGGACTAGAGAGGTTCAACCTGTACTACATATCAATGAACACCATAATACAAGGAAAATGTGAATGGAAATCGAGGTGTTACTAAACATTTTCCTACTTTTTCAACTTGTACTCGAAAAAAGTGGATTAAATTTCAAGAATTTTAAATTTTTTATGGTTTCATACAATTTTTCAGACAAATTTATGTGAGAAGAGACCCCAATACAATTATTAAAACAATTCAATGGCAGTGAAATGAGCTCTAAAAAAAAAAAAAAAAATCGACTATTATTCGGTAAAAACCTCTGAGGCTGAGCATAATTTTTCATGCACGTATGTGTCTCGGACTCCGAGGCTGAGAGGGTTAAATAATAAAGTAATAACTTATTCTTACACTGTTCATTTAAAATAAAAAATATATATCATCTGGTATATTCACTGTTAAGTACGTATATCATAACTAACGTATATGGCGGAGTATAAGTCGACCTGGTGTATAAGTCGACCCCCCTTTTTCAAGCAAAATATTTGGTCATAGAGGTATACTTACGGTATAAGTCGACTCCCCAACTCCAGCAGCTGTCAAGTGTTGTGGTGATCCTGTTAACATTGTTTCCTTAAAATTGCTAGAATGTATGAACCATGGGACTGGTTAGTCTAAATGGATCCAAACTACAGCTACACATTTGAAGATGTTTGGACTAGACCACCTGTACAAAGTTGAGACACAACAGCGCTTCCTGCCACCCTGGCGGACAATTCCCTTCGATATCACAATACCGAGTTATCCGCCTAAAAAAATAATTATACAATGTATTTATCTCCAACACACTGCCAAAGTGAGAGCTCTTGAACACATACACACTCTACAGACTGATGATAATATCACACAGACCATCTACACTGATGGATCTCTTAACACCGCCTGTGGGAGGGCTGGAAGTGTTATTGTTGTGACTCAACCTGATGGTAATATAATTGAAAAAGGAGTTAGAATTAACAACTGGGCAACCACCCTACAAACTGGATTAGTTGCCATACTCACAGCTATTAAATTCATTGAAACCACTGTCACTGCTATTAAATTCATTGAAACCACTGTCACTGACAGTCT